TCATCGCGTGAAGAAAAAAAAGAGTTTTTGAGGAAGCCGCGTCCGGAACTTTTAGCGCTGCTTCTGTGTTTTGGTTGTGTGTTGTTGGCAACAGTGACTGCAGTGAGTCAGACGCTCGATCGAAGGCTTTGGTTTGAGTCATTCTGTGAGGCTGTGACTAACTCAGGGGACTTCCTGTGTGGAGAACTCATACGCTGTGTGTGTGTGTGTGTGTGTGTGTGTGTCTCCAGGACATGGAGGTGAGCCCCAATGAACTGATGAACATCTTGAATAAAGTGGTCTGCAAACGTGAGTCCGGTTTCCTTCTGCAGCTCATTAAATCGTTCTTATTGTTATTTTCTAGTTTCAGTGTTTTGTGTGTTTGCAGTAAATTTGTATTTTAACTAAGCTGAACTGAAGTTGTGGATCTGTCGTTCAGATGGGAAGCTGAAGACCGACGGCTTCAGCAGTGAGTCCTGCAGGAGTATGGTTGCTGTGATGGACGTATCCTTCCACAAAACATAGTGCAGACTGAACACAGTAATCTCAGTGGTTGCAGAATTAGTAGCAGCAGATCAGAAAATCAACCGTCACGGTTCTCAGTGAGTTCTGCTTGTGTTGCTGAGTTTGACCTTTGACCTGGCTCCCATCAGAGTGACAGCACAGGAAAACTGGGCTTCCACGAGTTCAAGTACCTCTGGAATAACATCAAGAGATGGCAGGTCGGTCGGGAGCAGCCGTGCAGTCGCACTGTGACGGTTTCCACGCTGGTTTTATGTTTGTGTTGTTTATTATTTGTTGTCTTGTTTTCAGGGCATCTACATTAACTGTGACACCGATAAGTCAGGTGTGATCAGCGCTAGCGAGGTGCCTGGTGCCTTCAAGGCTGCAGGTAAGAAATGCTGCTGTGTGTGTGTGTGTGTGTGTGTGTGTGTTCATACATTTGTTGGGACCAAAACCTGGACGTTCACTGTACTTGTGGGAACCAAAGACGTTTGAGTGTGTGTAGTTTCATACTAAGTGTGTGTGTGTGTGTGTTTTGCAGGCTTCCCGCTGAATGACGAGCTCTACAAGATGATTATCCGTCGCTATAGTGATGAGAACGGCGATATGGACTTTGACAATTTCATTGGCTGCCTGGTGCGACTGGACGCCATGTGCAGTGAGTCTCTCTTCACCCTGTGATTTCAGATATGCGTGCACTCGGCTGTCCGACCGTCTTATTTTCAGCTTTACGTTTCTGAACACGTAAAGTTTGTATAATGATGTGTTTAACTTTCCTCACCTGTGAACAGCTGTACATGCTGTACATGACGTGTTGTCCCTACTTCTTTGTCTCTCTTATGCATAATAGAAGTAGTTAGTGTATCTCCAGTGTGTTGCCGCGTGGGGTGTGGTGAACCCATTTGCACGAGTCTATTCTCAGAGGAGAGACAAACCCAGCCTCAGGGGGTCAAAGCTATTGTAGCTAGTGGACCAATCCCAAGCCCAGATAAACAGGAGGGCTGTGTTAAAGTTCAAATCTGTGTTACACCAAAACATGTGGATCCGTCCACTGTGGCAATCCCCTGGGAAACAAGGGACCAGCCTGAAGCACCTAGTTCATCTCTAACCCACACCAAACTCCTCCTCCCTCCTCATCCACCCAAGAAACAAAAAGCACAGAAGAAATTTTTTTTTATATCAATTTAAAATGCACAGTGTGTGTGTGTGTGTGTGTGTGTGTGTGTGTGTGTGTGTTGCAGGAGCGTTCAAGACGCTGGATAAGGACAACAGCGGCACCATCGATCTGGACGTCAAGGAGGTAAAACCCAGACTGGTTCACTTCAGAATGTTTTCTAATTCTCTCGATTCTGAAGTTTAGACACTGAGTGGACGAGTGTGGTAAAAGTAGGAACGTGTGTGTCAGCTCACAGGGGAAAAGATCCAAACACAGGAGACGAGGGTGCATCAAATTCATCAAGGGGCAGGCAAGCAAAATGGGTGGGGGTCGGGTCAAAGGCCAAAGACGAGAACGAGATTAGAAATGCACGGAAACAGTCTGAAGTAGGAAAAGAAAACATGATTAATATTTTGCAATGATATGGAGCAGAAAAAACATGAGGTGGAGACGGATTTACTGACTGTGAACCACAGGAAAAAACCAACTAGTGCCTTAAATCTGTATTTTTTCTAATATCCACTAGGGGGCAACATTTCTTCTTCTTCATTGACTGCGTTATGGTCTCAGTCCCTAGTTTCAAGTCTTTTTGAGCAAAGCATCCTTTGATTTCGTAATTCTGGCCTGATGATGAGTGCACAGTCTCCCTCAGTCAGAAATGCTCAGCTCGAGGCTCAGCGAGCAGTAATGGCCACATCGTTCTTTTCTATACAGTCTGGTCTGGTTGGAAATGAACTTGAATGGCACAGAAGTCTGTAGGAAAACATCGGTCAGCTCCTGGGGTGACAATCAAACTGAAACTATAAAACCGAGGAGGACAGAGGACGGCTTGTGGTCACCTGTAAACACTGACGGTCTCTTTCTTCCTCACAGTGGCTTCAGCTCACGATGTATTCGTGAGGCGACGGAGGGAAGCCTCTCCACAGCTTCTCACTTCTCACACCTTCTCCTTCCTCTCACTCAACCCGCGATGTGCAGTTATCGTCTTCATCTCTGTAACGGGACCAAAACGCCGGCACTGAGCAGACACGAAGAGAAAGCTCGTGCTTCCGTTGCACTCTCCGGCGCTGCGGCATCTCTGTGTTAAAGATTTCTGTTCTTTTGTCTCTAAATGAATTTTATTAGGCTGAAAGTTTGATGACTCTGAATGTTTGAAAGAATAAACTGACACAGCTGATGCTACAGTTGTCCTTTTCTCTGAGTTTTCATGCACGCTTTGTCCTTCTTCATGCACGTGACCACATGTGATGTTACACTCATTCGTCTGATCGGGAATATTTTTTACTGCATCCAATTTCAAAGCTCAACTTCAGCCTGCCGAGGTTCTTCTGCAGCCCTGAACCTTTAGTGGCAGCTCTGCTCGTCTCGCAAGTGAAAGATGAAATATTGCTTTTACGTTTTCATTCATTCATTTTGACTTTTAAAGACACTTTTCAACACCTTACTTGTTGAGCTTGATTCTTTTATCTGAATGTGAGACATGAGACAGGCTTAAAATCATGGCTGTTTTATTCTTTCCCTTAAACTGTGAACATTTTTTGGAAATTTTAAGCGAAGTTACAAAACCTGAGTTGAAATGTCCTTCAGAAAATGTGTTGACGAATCCTAAAAGATTTTATTGTACAGAAACCAAAAGGATGATCGGCTTATGGATCCTAATGGTGTAACTTATCCTGCAAGTTTAACCTGTGAGATGCAAAACATTCAAAAGGTTTGACATTTTCTCTTCAGCTTATTTGTTACCCAGTGCAGTACCGTCAGAGCCCACCAGGGGGCTTCAGTTCATAAGCGGTCACACCAGGCATGAGCGGCTGAGAGCGCCTCTGGCAGATGTCTGAAAAACAAAAGCTTAATGAAAACTGTTTTTACACAGTCTTCAACTTCAGTTTGAATTTGGTTAAAAGTGGAGGGTCGTCTCTGTCCTTGACACCTGAGGTCCGCACACCTCGTTAGGAAACGATGAATTTGATGTTCAGAGAAACACCATGTGAACCAGACAAAAACTGGTTCACCCAAAAGGCAAAACGCCAAAACACAGACTTAACAATGTGGTGTTTGCTGTACAGTGCAGCGAGGAATGCTCAGACCTCTACATTGGAGAGACCAAACAGCCACTTCACAAGCGCATGGCACAACACAGAAGAGCCACCTCCACAGGACAAGACTCAGCTGTCCATCTGCATCTAAAGGTCAAAGGTCACTCTTTCGAGGATGCCAATGTTCACATTTTGGACAGAGACGACAGATGGTTTGAAAGAGGAGTGAAAGAAGCATCTATGTCCACTGTGAGCGACCATCTTTGAACAGAGGCGGGGTTTACGACACCAACTCTCTGCCATCTATAATCCAGTTTTGAGATCCTCCCCAGACGCCTTAACGCCCACTCACATCCTGGGCCATCTGACCTCAGGAAATCATATGATAAGGTGGGGCCAGGTTTCACAATGAACACACCCGAAACTCTGGCTGATTGTGACCCACACCCAGTTTCACACCTTGGCTCAGGCGATTAGAGGATCATCAGGGGTCCTTTTGTCCCTCTGTGGGGGGAAACTCCCACTAGGTTTATATCTGGGACTCTCCACCATTTGACCTTAGAACTGAAGAAGCTTCTCGGATGAGAGGTGAAACGTCTTCAAGCAACTTAAAGAAGTCCAGACGCTTTTTTTTGCAAGCTCCTTTGACTACGATGACCTGGATGACTGAGAACCTTCACAGACACCATGTGACCGACATCTAGACAAGTATAAAGACTTTTTTGGTCATGTTTAAAAAATGATGAGCGCCTGTGTGGCTGTTTGATCACAACTATTTTACAAACATGTCATTTAAAAAAAGTCAAATGTTTGGCACACCGCTCAAACCACTGAACGTGATATACGTGTCTGCTAAACTTTCACCTTCTAAACCAACTTCATCCCAGTTTTAGGCTTCAGTCATGTCCAGTGTGCCATTTAGACACCTTTGGACAGGGTTTCTAATGCTTTGTTCAGCGGATAAACGGATAAATGAGAAAAACACCATCACTATGACGTCACTAAGAGAGCATTAACACGTGTTTGACAAACGCAGGAAAGATGCAGATTTCATGGCGGCAGCTTCAAAACAATCAAAGCAGGATTCAAACTGTTAATTATGAAAATATTTTTTTGTAAAGTTTGCTAAACTGTCAGGATGCGAGCAGAGCTTCCTGCTGACCAGCGCTGAAAACACGCCCATCGTTTACCCTTAAACATGTCGCTGGTTCCTCCACCTTCAGCTGCGTCCTCGTGGTGGAGAGAGGCGTTCAAAGCCGCTGCTCTCTGACGTCACGCTCAGGAAGAAAGTTTGGGTTGCTGTTTGTTGGGGGGCGGGGCCTGTGCGGAGGAGGGGAGCGGTGATGCTGAGGAGGAGTAACCGAGGAAGAGCAACAGGTTTCAGTGTGCTGATGGGTTCACGAGGACAGAGCACGAGCGTATGAAGAGGACCGGATGAAAGGTACGGAACACAGGTTCGTATGGACGTCATCTCTGAAAAGAGGCAGCTTCAAAAAAACTGTTTTTATTTCAAATGTAAAAGTTGGTCATCAGAGTGACCCAGAGGTGGGAAGTAACGAAGTAGAATTACCAGGTATCTCTATTTAACTCGAGCGTTTATTTTTCTTGTTACTTTTTACTTTTACTCCCCACATTTTTAAACAAATATCTCTACTTTTACTCTTTACGTTTTAAAACAGACCCGTTAAGTTCATTCATATTGTGTGTGCTCGGTGTTAAACAGGGCCGGTGTTCCAGATTAACTGGTGTCACAGGTTAACTGGTGACGGTCAAACAGGCAATAAAAAAATAAATATTTCATCTGTGAGATTGATTCAAACAGACTCCGTCTTTTTGCTCTTGAACAATCAAATACTAAAAACTGTCGCGAGTGTACCTGGTGATATTCTCACGCACGAGTTGACCGCGAAAACGGCAAACAAATATACGTCACCACGCCGATTCCCAGGGCAGCACGATGAGGAGAATCCTGTCTTCGTTATCATCCCCATCACTCCGTGTCAGCCTCACAGCTAAGGCTGCAGTTTCACTCGTGTACACGTAAATGAACTGCCATAGCCTGTGACCAGGTGAGCCTGTGACGCACACCTGCACCTGCTGTCACCACAGAACCAGAGGTAGCCAAGAAATCACAATGCGGTCAAAAAACAGTAGAGGAACAAAAGACAGCATGGTACCCGGATGTTTGATTTAAAAAAAATATATCCAAAGAGCATTTTTGTGGTAAACTTACAAGAGTGATGTCACTATACGACGGAAGTAGCTGCTCAGAACAGGTTGTACCATATGAAAAGTCTCCTTTTACCTAAATTTGATCCCAGGCTCATCTTCTAAAATAATTTTCTAATGTAGTCGTGAAAAAGATTTTGAATTGATATTAATGCTCTAAACTGACCAGAACAAACAGTCGTACTGAAGAAAAGAAGATTTGGCTTTAAATTGTGACACTTGGAGTGGGTGTAAAACAGATTTCAAGTTTTCTACAGATCCTGAAACTGTCACACGACTATCTCATCTACTTAAAAAGTTGTAAATGGTCAAAAATGTTGGGAATAATAATTAAAAAACATTAAATTTCAGCCCGCCTCTGTCCTCTGAAGGCTGTTAATGCAGAAATTATGAAGGTAAAGTCTTTCATGGCTTCATTAAACATGTTAAAGCTGATTGTGACGGGGTGAGGTGGGCAGCACTGAAGAGCCAATATTTAAGGAGGAATAATTAGTTTAGTGTCGAAAACAGATTTTCAGACTCATCTGGAGCCCAGGACAAAAACAGATTTACCACATGAAAAAACTTTTTTCATGTGGTAAATCTGTTTTTGTCCTGGGCTCCAGATGTTTTACCACTTTGGAAAACTGAAATTTAGCACAAATCTTGTGCTGAATTTCAGTTTTCCAAAGTGGTAAAACAAATATTTAGACTCTTTAGTAAAATTCACAATCCCCTTTAACTAATAGTAAAAAGTTGTAATATGAAAATATGGATCATAGTTGTGGATTTGAGCTGGAGAAGATTTTAATGACTTGTATAGTGCAGGTATCTTTATCTATAATAGTACTGTGTAGTACATTAATACATCATATTTTGGGGGATGTGCCATGTGATGCCCCGCCCACTTTTGGGCACTCCTGAACATGAATGCTCATTATTATGCCTGTGATTAGGAAGCAGTGCCAAAGCCTGCATGTTTGTGTGTGTTGGTTATTTGTCTCTGGTCACTCTTAGCTAAGCGTGCATCACTTTAACGTGACAGCTGGAGGAGATACTGGTGATGATGTCAAGCTAAAGGAGGTGACTCTTTTCTATACAGTCTGGTCTGTTACAGAAGTGTTACAGAAGCTCAAGTGTTACAGAAAATCTAGTTTACAGTCAACCTGATGAACATCGGCCTTTAAAAGCTGAACACAGTCGTTTTCTTCTCTGTGTTGTGTCCCAGACTGAACACCTCTGTCTATTTTAGCAGTTTCATTTTGTAGACTAAAAGATTTATCAGTTTATGGTGCATAATATTTAAAACTGATTTTTTTAATATCAAGAACATCGTGGCTCATTTGTTCTTTTCTTCTTTCTTGTTGTTCCTCTTCTTTATTCCAACAGGTGGTGATTAGTGGTTGGGGCTAATTATGATGCTGCAGCCTGATCACACAAAGAGAAGTGTGTGTGTGTGTGTGTGTGTGTGTGTGTGTGTGTGTGTGTGTGTGTGTGTGTGTGTGTGTGTGTGAGGACTCAACACCTGGTTAGAAGCTGACATTGTGTGGACTCCTAATTACAGAGGAGGCAGTTGTTGTAAGAGTGAGGAGGGATTCGTTTTAGGCGCTTGTGAGAGCCGACGGCCGCACTGCATTCATGCAGATACTGTAACACTTTATAACTGAATTGTGGTCTTTTCTAAAGAGCCTTTGTGGGAGTTGTGCTAAGACCGTGTGTCTTGCCATCACAAGAATAACATCCAGTGAAAGAGGACGAAAATTCCTATCATTTCATATTTGAATGATATATGCAGAGAGAACGATCTGAGCAGGAAACAACGGGAAAGCAGGTTAAAAAGAATATGTGTGTGATGTCATCACTCTGCAGGGCAAACTGAAACTGGAGGTAAAAAACAGAGATTCACTCATATGAGCTTTGTTTTAGATGAAAATAATTTTGACTTGATATTAATGCTCAAACTAAGTCGTGCTTAAGAAAAGCAGATTCAGAGTGGGTGTAAAACTGAGCACTTAAACCTGAAAATGTTGTGTGAATATATCTCCTCTTCTTCAAAAGTTAGAAGAGCTCCAAAGGCTGAAAATATAACTAAAAAGCAGCCAGTTTCACACCCACCCCTGTGCCCTATAAGGGCCTGTATCTGTGGATATATAAGTGAGTAATGACTCTGATTAACCCCTGGATTAATCGGAGATGGTGGCTGGGGAAAGGGCGGTCTGGGTGTCTCTGCTCAGACCTGCGTGACTTGGACCTGGATCAGCAGCAGAAACTATGGATGAATTTAAGAAGAATGACGACAGGGACAAGAAGGAACCCGACAGTGTGCTTCAGTGCTTTTTACTGGCACACATTAAATGACTTATTCAGACTAAGCTAACCTGAGAGTTCATCCTTCTTCCTGTTTGGCCATTTGAATTGCTTGTGGTTTTAGCTGAAGATGATTTTAGTGTAATTTAGTGTGTTGGGTGTTTATGAAGAGCAGTGAATCACAAATAAGCTAGCCTTTAAGGCTGGAGGAAGGAGCTAAGAGAGCTTGTTTTAGACAAGAGACGCTGTATCAAAGTCCGTGCTAGACAAAGAAGGATTATTCTGAACTGTGGATGTTTCAGAACTATTCTTTTGATAGGAAATGAGTATTATGGGTCCCCTTGACCTTGAAGTATCACATTCATGTGTGCAAAAGGCTGCTGCAGCTGATGTTTTGAGTGCTAACTGGCTGACCATTGACAGTTACAGTAACTGCCATTAAAACGAAACAGTCTGTTGGATATAAAAGTAACTGCTTCTTAAAAAATAAATGTGGTTATCCTGAAGCGTGTTTGTGTAAGAGCCTGTGCTTGTTTTCTTGCTTGGTGTCTTCTATTGTCAGTCATGAAAAATAATCATGGCCTCACTCTCACCCTCTCCAGCTGTTAAAGACACCTGATGCTGCAGTCTGATCCGCTCACCTGGGACTGAACACACACACAAACAAACATGGCTGCTAACGCACGTTCAGACCCGCCCATCCTCACAGAGCAGGAGGAGTTACAGAGAAGAGCCAATCAGGTCACAGATGAGGTAAGAGGATTATGATGGTAAATAAGTGTTTTATTAATTATTAACAACCACACATAGAAATGGCCGTTTACTTGTTACCCTTGTATCCAGTGCACATTAACCTGGTAACAGCCGTTGACTCACCTGTTTGTGTAATTTACCTACTTTTCTGATGCCTAAAACCCTCCTGTGATTTAAACCGTCAACGACGGTCCTTCACCATTTTCAGTCTTAAGCCTTTTCTCCCTGACTGAAAGAAGATTTTTGGTCATCTCACCACGTCCTTAGTTTCCTTTGACTGGACAAAACATGTGCTGCAGACATGAAATATACTTCCCTCTTGTAAACGTTTCTTACAAATTTGTGCCATCTCAAAAAAATGTCACAATTCATGTCCATGAGCATGAACAAATAAACAATATATCTCACGACCCGGCTGTAAATCCAGGAGCAGGAAGTCAACAAACGTGACAACATAAATGAAGGTTTGGAGGAAAATGGAAGCGTTTGGAATTCTGGAATTTTGTTGTTTATAAAAAGTGAAATAATTTCTTGATATCTTTTAACCTCTTTTGTCCCAACGTAAAAAGTTGTATAAGAACTAAAGGACCAAACAAAGTTGTTCTAGTTGTGTCTGTGTAGCATATGGCTAAAACACAACCATATCTGTGAAGTGTATAACTCGAGCTGTGGTCTCTCTGTGGAGGCGAAAGGACTTCCTCAGCTCCACTAACCTCTAAATGTGGACACAGATTAGTTCGTATGAGACGGCACATCTGAAACATCAGGTTCAAGGACATGAAATTCATTTCCAGAATCACAAATGAATAAATTGGATGTTTGGAGTATTTCATAGACTGCCTTGAATCAGCAGGGGGATTTAAGTGATTCTACTTAAAAATAAAAACGTATTATTTCTTTTTTATATAGTGAATTTTATCAGGGATGCCAAATATTTCCTTTCAGTGCAGCCCACCATATGGAGAGCAAAAACTGCAAAGAAAGAGGGGCTATAATACACTTTACACTGTATTTTGCTTAAGGAAACATTATGTTGCAAGTCATTAATAATGAATCAGACTGCATACCATGACCAGTTATGGAGTATGGAGCTCCATACTGAGCCTGGGCTGTCTTTGGGCTCTAGGCTGGCTTCAGAAAAAGAAAAAGTTTGAATAATACATACAGAGAAAAACCCAACAATCATATGAACCCTATGAGCAAGCACTTTGGCGACAGTGGGAAGGAAAAACTCCCTTTTAACAGGAAGAAACCTCCGGCAGAACCAGGCTCAGGCCATAAAAAGACATGGATAAAGACATGCTGTGGAAGAGAGCCTGAGATTAATAACAAGTATGATTCAATGCAGAGAGGTCTGTTAGCACATAGTGAGTGAAGAAGAAACACCCAGTGCATCATGGGAATAAGCAGCCTAAGTCTATTGCAGCATAACTAAGGGAGGATTCAGGGTCACCTGCTCCAGCTCTAACTATCCGGTTGTTAAGTGATGACGTGACGAATCCTACTTCCGGGTCTAAAGTAGTCTGCGTTTAATATGGCTTTTGTGTTGTTAACATGTTTAATGTTTTGTATTTTCTTCTATTTGATCTCAAAAAGCTCCTAAAACAGTCAGTGATCACTGTTGACCTCCCTCGGCTTTTATTACCGCTAATCATTTATTTAAGCTCAGTTTTTAAAACCTTAGGATGTAACTACAGCCCAGCCCATGCAGCAGTATATGAATGACTAACCTCGTATTGTGGATGGATTATCTCAGTTGTTCTCCTGGCTGAAGTTTGGTCCGTTTACAGCATCCTGCCATGCGATTACATTTGTTCCTGACCACCGAGAACACTCACGTTAACTTTTATCCAGTGGAAAAAAGTTAGCTTGTTTATATTATGCTAACATAGCTGTGTCGCTAGCGGTCACGTAGCACATCATTAAATACCAGCTAGCCAAACTTCAGTAACCCTACAAACGTCACTGCTGTTTAGTTTTCTGTCTTCATTTATGTTGGAAGTGATAACAGAGCTGTACGTTTGAATTTGTTTCCAAAACCCCGCAGTCAGGACATGCTATATTGTATTTAGATAGAAGCTAGCGAGCTAACTCCCTGCTAACTTCTAACTCCGTTAAATGTCATAAATTCCGTTTTCATGGATGCCTGGATGTTAAACTCAATTGTTACACCTGGTAGAGCAGAACGCTGATAATTTTATTAAAGATGAAAGACTTTAGACAGTTTTTAACTCTCAGTAATGCCACAGTGATCGTTTGATATATGGACCTGCAGCGGAGTTTAGGCCCAGACACGGCTAGTGACGTCAGACTGAACAACCGCATTGCAGCATAACTAAGGGAGGATTCAGGGTCACCTGATTCATCCCTAACTATATGCTTTAGCAAAAAGGAAAGTTTTAGGTCTAATCCAACACGTTCTCATCCCAAAGCGTAACATTTTACGCTAGGTGACAAATCGTCAACATATTACGTTTTCGGCCACCCAACGCGTTCCTAAATGACGACATTAGCAAAATGAGGAAATATGAGAACCGTTTGAACACAATCTACACATGTTTGTTCATTTTCTTAAAAACGCTTCGGAAAACACCATTTCACGTCATTAAACTACTGGTTAAGGTTAGGGAGAAGGTTAGGTTTATGGATTTCATCCATAACCCGGCACGTAGCATTAGAACGCGGAAGGTCTCCTTTTGCGTTCCTCAGGAACACCGCAGGATGTGACAAAACGTCGGAATGTTACGCCTCGGGGGTGAGAACGGTCTGTCTAATCTTAAAAGCAGAGATAGTTTTCAACAGTTACCTCAAGGAGCATTTTGTTGCACGACCTTCCAATCCTACACTATATCATCATGACTACAAGTAACAGACTCTGAATTCCCAGTTCCAGATGTTATAGCTCCTCCCCTTTAAGGCCATCTTCCCTTTCTTCTGACTGGCTGCTCCTGTAAACAGAAAACGAGAGGAGGATATTGGGCCATATCCACTTATCCCCCGTCTGCAGTAGAAAAACGATGTGAAACTAAGCCAAGCCTGAATGTTCGGCACATGGGAATTACGTGGATTCATCTTCTCCTTTGACACTTTTGCCATGTTTCATATGAACATGGTTTTACATGTGCGTTACCCTTCAGCTAACTCGGCCTAAAGAACGGATCGTGAAAGTGTCAGACCAGAACAGTGTAGTCGGGTATTTCCTTTGCCAACACATTTTTGAGGCTGGCAAGGAGCAGAGAAAAATACAATCTAACAGTGGTGATATGGACGGGAGCGAGTCACAGCAGCATCCTCAGCTTATACCCCGGAGAGCGTGTCACACTCTGTGTGTCAGTCAGAGAAACCTAATGAGGACAATTATAATTAGAGCATCTCAGCAATAAAACCAAGAATTCATAATAAACAAACTGGCAAGAAGAGTGACGCAAACTACTACACAACCTGCTGAGCCACAGAGGACACAGCCCTGCCTGAGGGGAGGGCCTCTTCAAGGGCACCTGGCTCACCTGGTTGCCTTGGAGACAGCTGGTCTCCATGTGCAACTGTCTGGCACAGATGAGCTCACAACACACACAGACACACACACACGCACACACACTCCCTGGTGTTTAAAGGCTACTGCAGGTCAGAGACATGTGTCACCTCATCATCCCA